TATGTGTATGTTGTTACCCTGGAAGAACAGAAACTTTACTTTGTATCTTGATGAAAATGTTTGTCTATTGCCATCTGGTCACCACAGCCAAATTAGCAGACCTAGAAGTGGCTTTTTTTTCTAAACATCATTGTATTGCTATCAAAAAAGTTGTCTGATAATGCTTGCCAATTTTCAAGAGTTTACTATTAAATTGGTTATGGGGAGTTTCTGACTCAAACTGTTGATGGAACTTCTATTTCTATTTTCTTTCCATGTTAGTTGCTGACACTCACAAAGAGAAAATTTGATTCCTCAGTGTGCTGCAATACCTTTCTTAAATGCATGTTAATTTTAATGCAGTACAAGGTGCTAGACTTCTTTCTCAGAAAATCTTGCTTGCTTTCAGTGTGGAGCAAGGGGGAAATTTGAAATATAGTAGAAATAGAAGGAGGTATCTTGCTTCAGGGCATGGAGTGATTGCCACCTAGGAAAGGGTCAGGAAGGAAAAAAAATTCTCATGTAGAATATGGCACAGCTGGCCATATGCATTACTGGGCAGGGGGAAGAACCAGCAGTGTGATAGCTGTAGCATCACCATTCCTCTCCTTTGCCCTGGAGACTCACTCTCCTCCTTAAAAACATTAATAATGGAACCTTTGACTGGATTGGGGAAAATAAATGTTTAATCTCTGCAAGCAGCTACAGGATGAGAATGGGCGTGCCTTTGGGAAACTGAAAGGTGCATGGCAGGTACAAACTAAAGGCTCGAGGCAACTGAATGGTACCTGGAATAGTCTGGAATAATAACTATGTCCTGTGCTCTTCACATCTGGGAAAACAAGGATGGGGTTTTGTGAGACCTGGGAGGCAGGTGTGGGGATGCTTTTAGGATGGAGGATTTGAGTGACTCACAATGCTCTCTTTTAAACAACAGTTGTTAGATTTTCATGTATTTTGCAAGAAAGGATGGATGGTTTTGATATGCTGTGAGGAATATGGGGCAGGGTGATTGAGCACACCACAACTTTATGGAATTCTATAGAATGATGCACCTCAGTTGGCTGGATGCATGTGTTTTGTTGGGATTTCTCTGTAATCAGGCAGAGATGATCTGTTGCACATGCCATATTTTATTAGTTTTAAACTTGAGTCTTATTTGTATGATACACAACAAATGGGCATATTTGGACTCTGGTGGTTGTGTGGGCTATGCTCTACATGCTTTTCATGCTTTTCTTCCAGCTTTTAGCTTAGACTATAGCACATCCTCACCAGTTCTTTCTCTGCTCTGTAACAGTGATATCTTCTTGCCCCTCGGTTCTTTTTTTGATTTCTCTCTTACTTCATCTCACTCCCTGTTAGAAGTATTTGCAAAATCCCTACACTCTCAGGTTTTCTTGACACTGGCAACAAGGGGAAAGTGTAAGCATAAAGTGTAAACACTCTTTAATCATGAAATATAAAGAGTTGTTGGTTGGTTTCCAAAACAGCAAAGATGGAAAAAGCAACTGTACAAGTTTGGAAGGTGGCTCCTTAGAAGTTTTTATTCAAGTCTTGGGAGATATTGGTGGTGATAAATCTTTTCCAGTTTTCTTTCAATATTTTTCCAAGCTGGATTTGCTGCTATGCTAAATTTGATTAGCATGGAGAGATTGTATGAGGCAAAACATTAGTTACCTGGGCCCAGGTAACTAATTAACCACAGGGTTCAGAGAAGGTGAACAAGACAAGGCTGCTTGAGTGCTTGAAATTTTACAGACAGCTTTTACCAGTGGATAAAACTCCCACTTTGTGTAAAGAACCAGCACCTTTGGGGTTTTTTTACAAACAGAGGGAAGATAGGGTTGCCATAATTTGTGCTGTCTGGATTCCTGTTCTTCATGTGGTTGGAAGGGCACAGCTTGAATTCAGGAGTGACAGAGGAGGTGACCCTGATTTGAATGTCTCTTAAGAGGTTACTTTGTGTAACTAATATGTGCTTTTTTACAATCAGATTGAGGATGCAGATATGCTTCAAGTTTCCTGTGCAGTTAATTCAAAGAATTTAAGGAGGCTGGAGAGGTAACAATGTTTCTTCCCACTAATTTGCACTTTCAAGGTACTGTCTTCTTGTACTTTACGTGTAACCACAGTACTTTTAAAGCACATTGATTAAGGTTCTACTGTTAAGTAAAGCCTTTCAAGATTTTCATTGATATCAAAAAGCCTTTATGAGGCCTTACTAAAGGAGGAAAAAAGCCACAATGAGCTTTTAACTGAAGAGAAAATGTCTTGCTAAGATTTGTCAAGATAACAAACTTGCACTGGTTTTGTGATTTAATTCCTTGCATGATCAAAATGTAGTGCATGCTTTGTAATGAGACCATTCAATGTTTATTTTTTGATAAACTCCCTTTTCTGTTAGCAAGTCGGCTTTAATCTGGGGTGGTGAAGAACAGGACAGTTTTGGGGTCCTCAGAAATGGGAAAATCTTTGAGAGACTCCAGCAAAACTGATGTACAATGGATGTGAGGGAAGTAGTGTGGCTGGGAAAGACAGCAGCTGTAGAGGACACTGTGTCTTACCACAATTCTCCTCTTAAAAATGCTGTGACTTGGGAGAAGCAGGAGAACTTGGAAAATGCATTTGCTCACTTCCAGCCAAGCTGGTAGTATCTGTCACAGTGAAAAGAGAAAAACAGGCTTTATATATCTTGAAATGAAGTAGGATTTTTCTGTGAAATAAAGGGTTTTATCTGTCTTGGAAGGAGCACGCAGTCTCATTCCCTTCGGGGACGTCTGAATGTTCCGTGGGTACACAGTGCACATGGACAGCATGATGATCCATGCTGGAGTCCTCTCCAGATAGTCAGTGTTCAGGTGACTCCTGGATGAATTATTTGTTCTGTAATCGCCAAGTCTTTATGGTTTTGTGTGGTTCAGGTGTGTCCCACTTTGAGCACCTCTCTGAGCTAATTTCAGGAGGGTCTTAAGCAATGCAGGGACAGGAGCAGGTCATGCACTCTTATTCTTGCTAAACTGTGAGACGAGGGCTCCAGCATCAGACAGCATCTCCAGCTTCAGACAGTGTGGAGACAACTAGGACTGCCTAGAAAATAGACAGGATGGTGACTCTTGGAGTAGATGAACACAAAGAGGCAGCAACTGATAGTGTGCCAAGTTCTAAATAAGGAGGGGACAGCCTGGCCACTGTTATCCTGATACAGGTCACTTGCATAAACAGAATGGCAATCTGGGACAAGATGCAAAGTTGCATAAGAAGGGAACTGAAAGCCTTCCAAATTATTTTGGTTCACAGGTGTGAGTGGGATAATTATTGTGATGTAACTTGGTCGACATAAATCTCTCTTGATCCCAAAAATAATAACATGAGGTAACTCAGCAGTTATTTTAATATAAGAAATTATGTTCTGGGGATATTTTTAAAAAATGAAAATGCATCTGTTTATATACTGATATTAGTTACTTTGAAGGGCCTTAAGTGTTTTCAGGACTTTGTGCCACTGCTCTTCAGATTAGAGACTCTATTTTCAGCACACCAGTTGCTGACAGTACATTGTGCCAGTACATTGTCAGCATTCAGTAAAAGTAGCAATAATAGGTTAAGCAGAACTGCATATCTCAATAGAGAGATGAATAGGAGGCTCTCTAAGCATACCCAGAAGGTTTAG